GCCCCGATAAAGTTCGGGAATGGATCATTGAAAAAGACGCCTTTTGGACTTCACTAAGATAAAAAACTCTGGGTTTTCCTACTGGTTCCCCCGAGTAAAAGCAGTCAAAATCTGTGCCAACTACTTGGTGGGAGATCACTGATCCCACCCTTCGGAGAGCTTTCACTATGGCACGGTTTCAAACATTGCCAACTGCTTATCTGACCGGTAGATACACAAAAACCCCAGTAGAACATCGTTTATGTCCTTCGCTTATGAAAATTAATTGCCCCATTTACTCGGGCTTTAGAGAAGCACTGCTGCAAATTATACCCAACTCTATAACCAGTCCTGAAGATAGAGTAAAATTTTTGTTAGTTGATGCAAACCCACGCATTACCCATGTGGTAGCCTGGTTTTTTGTGATGAAGGCATGAAAGCCAGGGAAAGATTTATGGACGGACGCAATGTAAGACCCCTTCATCGTCTGTTTAACTCGTTGCTCGTTTCCCCTCTTTTCTATTTTGTGGGAAGAAGGTTTTGTTGCATAGTATGTAATGAATTTTAATATTTCTTAACTATTGTAGTGTTGATGTTTTGTGCCACAGGCATGGTCCTCACAATAAACGATTTGATTGAATATAATAATTTTAATATTTGAAACGGAAATGAGATGAAGTGGGTGTTGATCCAGCTTTATTGGCAGTACACCCCAGCTATGGACAGCCCTCTTCGCCTGCAGCGTTTCTTCCCTCTCATGTCGGCAAGAAAAATAGGGGAGAGGATTTCTCAAAATTGCAGAGTCAAGGCAGGTTGTGCTGTTAATGAGCCCTACTCCATTTAACAGACTTTATCTGCCGCTTTTATCTTTATCTGCCACGATTTCTTGCAGATTTATGGAGAAGTAGAAATAATCTGAACCATAAACCATAAAACTTCTAAAATAAATGCCTTAAGGCATCTTAGGGCCCTTAGAACCCGCCAAAGCAGATAATAAAACAGAGCTTTACCGAGCATAGGACAAGGCTGCCGTTCACGGTCGCCATCTTAGTTCCACCTCCAAATTATTATATTACTCAAATAAGTCCAGTTTTGACTGTGGGGCAAATGTGTTATGCCTGCAGATATCAGAAAAACTGGAGTTGTGTCTTGACATTTCCCTTCAAAAGCTCAATGTTTATTTTAAAAGAGCAATCTTTAAATAACCATTTAAGCTCTTTAAATACCCATAATGCTTCCATTCATTAAGTTTGCCTAAAAATTCTTTTCAGCCATAAGTTATTTTACCAGAAATCATACTTCAATGTGGGTGCTCTTTGGAACGATCTGTAATTAATTAATTAATTAATTAATTAATTAATATGTGTGAGTGTGTTTATCTGCAGGTGTTGGACAGTAACTTTGTGGTTTCTGAAGCCCCTTGTGAGTAGGTTGTTTTTCAGAAAGTGTAGCCTTGTTGAAGAAAAGTATAATGGAAATTTGATTAACACAAAAGAGGTGCTGGAACATAGACATAGCAGACACACCATTCTTTGAAGGGCTTTATAGTCTAGCTGCAGTTTTTCAACACAATGCCCACCAAAAGTCAGCATTTGGACAGCAGACTAAGCAGGCATTCAGGTCACCTAAATACGTGAGAAGTATTAATATTTCTATTTAAATTACAGTAAATTGTTTTTAAGTTGGCTTTGGCCATTTGTTTATTTATTTCATTAAAGTGTATACACCACTTGATTGTAAAACAAAAAACTGCAACGTGGTTTACTAACAGATAAAATAATAAAAATTCGAGGCGGGGGGGAATCAACCATACTTCAAAACATACAGATTAATATTACCTAAATTAGCACAGACCATTGAATGATATCTGTGTCCTCGTTTTCTGACAGTGCTGTGGTGGTCACCATTTAGACTTCCTCCAATGAGTTCTGGAGGCACCTACTGGGCTATCACTCTAGAAACCCTTTCTCTCACCTAAGGGAATCTAACAGGAGCTGGTAAGATGGTTTAATCCCAGGCAATGTGCAGAGTGCTTCCCCGTCAGCATTTGGCAACCGCCCAGGGAATGCATAGTGCTCAGGGCTTTCCTTATGGAGGAGGGAGAGAAACACCAGCCGCAATTTCCCAGGGGCAGGTTCAGAAAAGGGAGGCAAAGATGAAAAGGGGGCACAGGCTTCAGGGGGAAATCCTCCCTGGGTTGCATTTGCCTGAGCTGAAGTCCCAGCCACCTTGGCCAGACTTACTCCTGGAGGGGGGTCAGCAGGGCCGGCCCAAGACATTTTGGTCCCCTGAGACGAAGTCCCAAACTGTTTCCCCCCCCCCAGGGAAGAATGGAGGTTGTTGGTGGATCAAGATCAAATGGCGAAGAAAGGCGGGAAGAGACCAGTGGCGCCTCCTCTTTGCCCGAGGCAGATTTGGAGTGGGGTAGAAGTGGAAGTGAGGAAGATCCAGCTCCCAAGCAGAGGCGGATTTAGGGCAGCCCAGCCGGTCCCCCCCCCCCCGCTGAGCCTGGAGGGGCCAGAGGGGAGCAGAAGGATGGAGGAATGACAGGAGCAGAATGGGAGGCGAGAGGGGGCAGCCTTCCTCAGGGGCCAGACATGCTAATGCGCTTATCTCGCCTCACGGGTGGGTCCCCCCTGCGGGGTGGGGTGAGGGGGCCATTGTGTTCAGAGGGAGAGGAGACCGAGGGGACGTGGGGGGGAGAAGCGGGGAGACCAGGGAGAAGGAGGAGGAGGGCGGCCAAGGTGGCGCCGCGGGGGAAGCCGTGGCCAAAAGCCGCGAAGGCAGGAGAGGCGGGGGCGCATGCGCGGCGGCGGTTTGGGCGGGAAACGGCGCGCGGCGTCAACCTTGATTCTATGCAGCGAGGCGAGAGGGAGTGGGGGATGGGCGGCCGTTGGGACGAGAAGGAGGAGCGGGAAGGACACCCCCCCCCATTGCCCAGCAAGACGTTGGTTATAGCGCTGATGCTGAGGGAACGTAATAAGGGAAGACAATGGCGAGAGGGAAGCCCTTCAGAGTTATCTGGTAGCCGCTCCCCAGGCGCCACCACAGGGCGCGGCTATCTTCCCTCAGGCATATACAGTGGCACCTCTAGTTCACAGGCAACCCTCCCATAAAGCTTCATTGAAGGCAGTAGAGCACAAACCTGGGGGGGGGGGAATTAACCTGGGGGAGGGGAAGACCTGACCTTTTATCTCTAGAACCACAAGTGACTTTTTTCTATGGGAAAATTAAGCCCATGTTTATATGCTTGCACACAGGAAAGTGAATGTTTCAGTAAATGGAAAATTAACTCAAGACTCCAGACAAGCTAGTAAAGGAACAAACTTATTGAAAACATCGAAGTCATACATTAAAAGGCATTAAAAGAGGGAGCTTGGAAAATATGTACAGGATAGCAAGGAAGGAGTTGGGAAGCTAATCTGGAACCTGACTTAAAGCGAAAAACTGAGGGTCCCAAGCACTTCCATCAATATTCTGCATTTGTACAGGATTTGTAGCTGAATAATTCCCCGTTGCAGACCAGGGAGTGTAAGGTGCTTGATGCCATGAAGAAGTTACCCGATGATGGTGGAGGCTGCCTCACCATCTCCGCACCGTAATATGGAACTGGGCAGTTGCTCGCCTGGGAAGTCTCATAAAGCCCAGTTCCACAAAAAGCAGCTTGCTGATAATAAGCAGGGTTCAATTCCAGGGAGCTCTGCTGTTGCGGGGCACACTCTCCCGGTTGCGTGTTGTTGAGAGGTGGCTGCCACAACCCTGCTCCTCCATAGCTTTCAGCATAATGAAAGTTCTGTGGCTGATAATATTGTTCCATATGAATGTTTTGGCTGTTTCCTGGACTGCTTCTCGGGCTGCTGTCCAGGGTGCTTCTTGGACGGGTTCTTTCACTCCGGCTATAAGGAGCTGCAGCATGGTTCCCGATCCTTATCCTGGAACCAATGCTCTTTGGTGTTCTGGCCCTTCTGTTTTGAAACCAGATCTGAACAGAAGAAAGGAGAGAACCAAATGCCCATTATTTCCAAACAGGTAGGTCATAATTTCAGTGGGAGAACCTACGTTAAGTTGTTTTGTGTTGTGTGAAAGGCATATAGGCATTATGTTCTGTGAATATAGAAGACATTGTTACCATGAATATGTCTTTTTGATCCAACAGAGAAAATTTCATTTAATAAATTATGCTTATTCCTCTGGGGTTTCTCTTTAGTTCTCTGCAGCATTTTTCTACTATCTTCAGCTCCACATTCATATATCCAATGTTCATAATATCCAGTTACTGTTCATCATAAAGCTTCTAAGTTGGAATGACTAAATACTGCTACAGTATTTGGTTGTATTTTGTTCTGCAGTATCAGAAAAAGCCTCCTTTAAAAGCTGCACAAGTGTACAGTTCCACAAGACTTTCTTTATTGAAGTATAACCTGTGGATGTGAGCTTCATCTGTAAGAAATTGTCAAGCGTTTGTTAATGCCAAGTGGATGCCTGCATACAAGACTTAACATCTGTGTGTGCATTTGTGCTGGAAGACAACTGCTTTAAAAATTCCATAAATATAGTAATAGTAATTTTAAATAGCTCACTCAGAAGACCTACCCATTTGTTCTGCCCTGTTTGAGGTCAGAATCTCAGAAAACTCAGAATCTGCATTAAATGAATGTGTGCTGTGCATAAATTTACTGGGAAAGAAAAGGAAGCCTTAATCAGGAACCATGATTTCTGAAGAAGTATGGGCACAATTTCTTCCTAAATTTGAAAAGGAGGGAGCACAAACCACCCTTTACAAAAAGCCTTTACATCCACGATACACCCCCCCCCCTCCGCAAAAAAGCTGAGAGGCACCCGGGTGAACTAAGGCCTTCGACTATGCAAGGCTTATTCTGAGCGTTTCAAATGGTTCCAGTATGTGCGGTTTAGGGAAGTCTTGGAAGCCCCCACCATCCCGATTCTTACGTGCACACGATCTTCTTCAACTCCGATGCACCTCGCCAGCGCCTCCCTAGTCTCGTATCCGGGGTACCGGTTCTCTTCAAACTCCTTCTTTAAAAGCTCGATTTGGGCAGGGGTGAAAACGGTCCTTTTTCTTCTATCTCCTCCGACTTTGGGGTAGCTTCCTCCTGGGAAAAGACAAAGAGGCAAATCTGAAGGAAGCGCTCGGCTTAAACTGAAGCGACGCTTGCAGATCTTCCTCCCGACATGGAAAGCTCAGGGCTTAATAATCATTTTTTTAAAAGTTTCTCTTACCTTCCTTGTTGGTTGCCATCATGAAAAAACTCCCTCAGGTTCGTTCTCTCTGCAGGGGATTCGGTCTGGGCATTTATCTCCGTTGGGCGACCCCACCCTTACTTCTCAACCAATACGAGGGAGTCACCCCACCCTTACTTCTCTACCAATACTAATTTCCCGGTTGCGGAATGCCCTCCCAATGAGCTGCCCCGTCTTCATCATTTTTGCGTTTCACCCTTGCTTCTCAACCAATAGAAACAGTTACATTCTCTTTCAAAAAATCGGTTGCTTTGCCAAACTGGCTCAAACCCCTCCCTCCGTCGACACCCCTTTGGCAATTGACTCTTCATCTGAATGGAAGAGGAAAGAGAGTGAGAGAGAGAGAGAGAGAGAGGAGAGAGAGAGAGAGAGAGAGAGAGAGAGAGAGAGAGAGATCTTTCGGGCGCCTGCCTACACCTTTTCTTCGCCAAGCCACACCCGAATTCTACAAAATGACACTTGCGAGGTCCAACCAAAGAACCCCCCCCACACACACACTTTAGCAGACACTTCGTAATTTAAAACGGGTACTCTCCTTTTAAAAAAGGTTTTGTTGTTGTTCTAAAAAGAACCAAGTATAAATTATTTCATATCGACAAAGAAGCTGGGAACAACTTAATCCCAATACCCCTCATTTCAGCCTCTGCCGTCTAAATAAATTAGTACATCCCTTGGATGGAGGCTCTGGCAACTGCCAGCAATCGTATCAAATGCGAATGATACGGTATACATAAGAGCGGCGGCAACCGAAGAAAGAAATCTAAGCTATGTAAGCAAGCTATATTTTATTAACATATGATTAAAATTGCATTCATTTTTCGCTAGTTTTGAAAGACTTAGCTTACGTTCTTTTAAAAACGGTGCATTGGATATTCAAGGTCACCCGCCATCTTAGAAGAGGAGATCCTTGCACCAAGAATGCCTTTTCCAAGCTGGTACCTGCAAGTTAGGATTCGTATGGTAATCTTTTATAACCCAAATAATAAATAAATAAGACGACAGTGCCGTTGTAGTTGGTTTAATTTGCTTTAATTCAGTCTGGACGGCCAGCCCATTTAAAGAGGTTCCCCGGTTGCGGAATGCTCTCTCTAGTGAGCTGCCCCGTCTTCATCATTATTGCGTTTCATTAGGAATTTGAAAATATTCCTGTTTGTTCAGGCATTTGGTGGCTGCAGAATAATGATCCTGACAACCCCGAGATCTGCGGGCAAAAGAATAGTTGAAAAAACAAACCAACAAACCTCCTATAATTACTTTTAGGATTCTTCCTAACTGAAATTGATTTTAGGTGTTTGCAATTGTTATTTTTTTAATGTTCGAAATGTTTTAGAATGTTTTTGCTTTGTTTTTGTTTTTAAATTGTGGACTGTTTCTGTTTGCCGATGTGGGCTCCGAAGGGCGGCGTATAAAATCAGGGAATAAAAACCATAAGAACATAGAATTGGGTTTATTTGTAGGAGGACGAGGAAAGGAAAACAAGCAAGCATAGTTGAGGTATCAAATACACAGCTTGCGTTTCAACCTATTACTAGTTCGTTTATACATTATGTCCCTTCTCCTCCAAGATTCAAAGATCACAATGTTTCACCGCATAAATTATAATTTGACAGATTTCAAAGCAGAATGTACCACAAAGTAACTTCCTAATATGAAGAGTATCAATGCCAATTTGATATTAGCGCTTTGCTGATGGTTGTTTTAATGAACATTTAAATTCATGGCTACTGAAACACACGGACCAGGAGGTCAAGTTTCTGTTCTGAAATACGTGTTGAAGCGTTGAATGAACACCGGGAGGACGCCTAAATGGGCAGTTTCAATAGGCTGACCTTTGCTGTAACTCGAGGGGTGTTTCTATTAGGGATTTTGGGTAGGAAACCGAGAGCAACCTAACCCCCAACCTCTGAGCTGTGACAGACTTGCATTGCAGGGCTGTTGTGTCAGCCCCTCAAACCCACGGAGAAGGGATTGCATTCCGTTTCAGATACGAAGTGTGTGCAGCCTTGTAAAGGGGGGGGGCGTGTTCTTTGGCAAGTGTGATTTATGTACGATGCAGGTGTGTGACACGCCCCTTTATTCAGTTGTGGCGTAGTTACTTGCACTGACTTGGCAGTTTAAGGTTGGAACCACTGCTTAAGACCAAGGGCTAAGGACGAAATCACAGACTAAAGTAGGTCAAAGTCAATTGGTTATTACTGGCGGCCGAAGAGTCAACGGCCAAAGGGGTGGCGAGGGAGGGAGGGAGGGGATTGACTCAGTTAGCAAAACAACTGAAAAAAGGTGACTCCCTCTTATTTAGCAGTCTCTGCTGCGTAATGATGCCCTCTCTTCACCACCACTCAACTCTTTCCCTCTTTCAGAGAGATGGATGTGGGGAAAGAAATCCCGCACCTTCCACTCACAGAGACATCACTTTGATGTTTTTGTATGTGTCAGGTGAAGACATTTAGATTTAGTTTCAGCTTTGGATCTTGTTCTTATTGCAGATTTTATCCTCCAACCTTAGCTTTTTGATCTCAATTGGGAGTTGTTTTTAATCTTGCCTTTTATCTATTGTATTACATTTATCTATCTCTCTAAAGCTGTTCTAGCATGTAGATTCTGTCATTTTGCCTATGTTATACACAGAGTAGCTTGGAATCAGGGGCAGATATCCTACGAAACCAATGAATTTTAAGATTCTGGGCGCCAAATCCCAGAACATAAGTAAATGAAATGGTAGGGATTGAGAGGGACGTATTTCTGACATATATGGATCTGTCTTGATGTATAATAATTAAAAATCATGATCAACCAAAGCTAAAAGAGAACCAAAAACATCTGTTGCAACTTATATGAATGGCATCACAGAGAGTATAAAACACCCAAGCTTCAATAAAGAATTAACCAAGTGGGTGAACCAAAAGGTCTACACTAGATGATTTAGAGAAGATAAAGAAGGCACCAGGAAAGACTCACGGAGGAGGCTGTTCCATAGCTGGGGTGCTACTGCCAACAAAGCTCTCTCTCCCTGATCGACACCCACTTCATCTCATTTCCGTTTCAAATATTAAAATTTTATATTACTCAAATAAGTCCAATTTGACTGTGGGCAATGTGTTATGCCTGCAGATATCAGAAAAACTGGAGTTGTGTCTTGACATTTCCTTCAAAAGCTCCATGTATATTTTAAAAGGGGAAGCTTCAATAACCATCTAAGCTCTTTAAATACCCATAACGCTTCCATGCATTAAGATTGCCTAAAGATTCTTTTCACCATTATTTTACCAGAAATCATACTTCAATGTGGGTGCTCTTTGGAACAATCTGTAATCAATCAATCAATCAATCAATCAATTAATTAATTTAATTAATTAATATGTGTGAGTGTGTTAATCTCCAGGTTGTTAGACAGCAACTTTGTGGTTTCCGAAGCCCATTGTGAGTAGGTTGTTTTTCACAAAGTGTAGCCTTGTTGAAGAAAAGTATAGTGGAAATTTGATTAAACAAAAGAGTGCTGGAACAGAGACATAGCAGACACACCATTCTTGGAAGGGCTTTATGGTCTAGCTGCAGTTTCAAACAAATGCCCGCCAACAGTCAGCATTTGGACAGCAGACTAAGCAGGCATTCAGGTCACGTAAATACGGTGAGAAGTATTATAATTTCTATTTAAATTACAGTAATTGTTTTTAAGTTGCCTTTGACCATTTGTTTATTTCATTAAATGTATACACCACTTGATTGTAAAACAAAAAACTGCAACGTGGTTTACTAACAGATAAAAAAAAATTGAGAGGGGTGGGAATCGATCATACTTCCAAATATAAGGTGAATATTACCTTAAATTAGCACAGACCCATTGAATGATATCTGTGTCCTCGTTTTCGACAGTGCTGTGGTGGTCACCATTTAGTGCTCACCCCTCAACATCTGGCAACCACCCAAGGAATGCTAGTGTGAGGGCCCTCAGGGCTTTCCTTATGGAGGAGGGAGAGAAACACCAGCCGAATTCCCAGGGGCAGGTTCAGAAAAGGAGGCAAAGATGAAAAGGGGGCACAGGCTTCAGGGTGAAATCCTCCCTGGGTTGCATTTGCCTGAGCTGAAGTCCCAGCCACCTTGGCCAGACTTACTCCTGGAGGGGGGTCAGCAGGGCCGGCCCAAGACATTTGGTCCCCTGAGACGAGTCCCAAAACTGCCCCCCCCAGGGAAGAATGGAGATTGTTGGGGGATCAAGATGAAATGGCGAAGAAAGGCGGGAAGAGACCAGTGGCGCCTCCTCTTTGCCCCGAGGCAGATTTGGAGTGGGGTAGAAGTGTTAGTGAGGAAGATCCAGCTCCCAAGCAGAGGCGGATTTAGGGCAGCCCAGCCGGTCCCCCCCCCCCTGAGCCTGGAGGGGCCAGAGGGGAGCAGAAGGATGGAGGAATGAAAGGAGCAGACTGGGAGGCGAGAGGGGGCAGCCTTCCTCAGAGGCCAGACATGCTAATGCGCTTATCTGGCCTCCTGGGTGGGTCCCCCCTGCGGGGTGGGGTGAGGGGGCCATTGTGTGAAGAGGGAGCGAAGAGGAGACCGAGGGGACGGGGGGGGGAGAAGCGGGGAGACCAGGGAGAAGGAGGAGGAGGGCGGCCAAGGGGACGCCGCAGGGGTAGCCGTGGCCAAAAGGCGCGAAGGCAGGACAGGCGGGGCGCATGCGCGGGGGCTGTTTGGGCGGGAAACGCCAACCTGGATTCTATGCAGCGAGGCGAGAGGGAGTGGGGGATGGGCGGGCCGTTGGGCCCAGAAAGAGGAGCGGGAAGGACATCCCCCCTCCCGTTGCCCCAGCCAGACGTTGGTTATAGCGCTGATGCTGAGGGAACGTAATAAGGGAAGACAATGGCGAGAGGGAAGCTCTTCAGAGTTATCTGGTAGCCGCTACCCAGGCGCCACCACAGGGCGCGGCTATCTTCCCTCAGGCATATACAGTGGCACCTCTAGTTCACAGGCAACCCTCCCATAAAGCTTCCTTGAAGGCAGTAGAGCACAAAACCGTGGAGGGGGGGGGGGGGAGACCTGACCTTTTATCTCTAGAACCACAACTGACTTTTTTCTATGGGAAAATTAAGCCCATGTTTATATGCTTGCACACAGGAAAGTGAATGTTTCAGTAAATGGAAAATTAACTCAAGACTCCAGACAAGCTAGTAAAGGAACAAACTTTATTGAAAACATCGAAGTCATACATTAAAAGGCATTAAAAGAGGGAGCTTGGAAAATATGTACAGGATAGCAAGGAAGGAGTTGGGATGCTAATCTGGAACCTGACTTAAAGCGAAAAACTGAGGGTCCCAAGCACTTCCATCAATATTCTGCATTTGTACAGGATTTGTAGCTGAATAATTCCCCGTTGCAGACCAGGGAGTATAAGTGCTTGATGGTATGAAGAAGTTATCAGATGGTGGTGGAGGCTGCCTCACCATCTCCGCACCGTAATATGGAACTGGGCAGTTGCTCGCCTGGGAAGTCTCATAAAGCCCAGTTCCACAAAAAGCAGCTTGCTGGTAATAAGCAGGGTTCAATTCCAGGGAGCTCTGCTGTTGCGGGGCACACTCTCCCGGTTGCGTGTTGTTGAGAGGTGGCTGCCACAACCCTGCTCCTCCATAGCTTTCAGCATAATGAAAGTTCTGTGGCTGATAATACTGTTCCATATGAATATTTTGGAGGTTTCCTGGACTGCTTCTCGGGCTGCTGTCCAGGCTGCTTCTTAAACTGGTTCTTTCACTCCGGCTATAAGGAGCTGCAGCATGGTTCCCAATCCTTTTCCTGGAACCAATCCTCTTTGGTGTTCTGGCCCTTCTGTTTTGAAACCAGATCTGAACAGAAGGAAGGAGAGAACCAATATAGAAGACATTGTTACCATGAATATGTCTTTTTGATCCAACAGAGAGAATTATATTTAATAAATTATGCTTATTCCTCTGGGGTTTCTCTTTAGTTCTCTGTAACATTTTTCTACTATCTTCAGCTCCACATTCATATATCCCATGTACATAATCTCCAGTTAGTGTTAATTATAAAGCTTTTACATCCACGATACACCCCCCCCAAAAAAAAACCAAGAAAGAGGAAGTTAGCTCTTGAACATGGCGCCTTTCGCGATAAGCTGAAAGGCACCCGGGTGAACTAAGGCCTTCGACTGCGCAAGGATTATTATGAGCGTTTCAAATGGTTCCAAGTATGTGCGGTTTAGGGAGTCTTGGGAGCCCCCACCATCCCTCTTCTTACGCGCACACGATCTTCTTCGACTCCGATGAACCTCGCCAGCGCCTCCCTAGTCTGGTATCCGGGGTACTGGTTCTCTTCAAAGGACTTTTTTAGGAGCTCGATTTGGGCAGGAGTGAAAACGGTCCTTTTTCTCCTATCTCCTCCGACTTTGGGGTGGCTTCCTCCTGGGAAAAGACAAAGAGGCAAATCTGAAGGAAGCGCTCGGCTTCAACAGAAGCGACGCTTGCAGATCTTCCTCCCGACATGGAAAGCTCAGGGCTGCATCGCCTGCACTTGCCCCCAGAATCGGGCGCTGCCTGAGCTTATACTGCGTAAAACGACCCCCGGTAGAGAACGCTTCAGTGGCAATTCTTTCAAGCGCCCCGCTGACCACCCACCCGGCAGAGCGCAGAAGGGCAAAGCCTTCGCTTTTTACAGAAAGGCTTTTCTACCTGACATTGAAATCCACGCACTTTGTGGCGTATAAATAAACCCCCGGTTGCTCGGAACAAGGCTTGATGAAAAGCCGAAGCGTAAGAATTTAACTCTTATTTCTATGCCTGCCATCCTTTGTCTCAACTGATCCCAACCACGTTTATTGGGAAATTTAATCTTGCGAACTGTTTCCAACCGAAGACATTTGAGCCCCTGTGTCATCCCTCCCTGGCTACCGCAAATCCTTCCCTACACCCTGAGCCTGACCCAGAAACAGAAACACCCTTCATTTATTAAAACAGTCGTTTATGAAAGCCTGAATTTATATCAATCATTTGAGCAATTTTTTAAAGACAAGTGAACTAAAATTCTTCTTAACAATCCTCTCTTCTTACCTTGGCTGTTGGTAGTTTTCATCTTGCAAAAGCGCTGCCTCGCTCTCTTCCAACAAAGCTGGTTTTCGCTTCCAAAATTGCCCTTTCTTCTCAAGGCGCGCTCCAGGTTTCTGGAGTTCGGCGCCTTTATAGCCCCTCCTGGCTGCCAATTGGCCGGCGCGTTTTCCTTCGAGAGAAGCGCTCCAATGGGGAGGCGGCTTTTGCGGAGGAGCGAGTTTCAAGTTCACTTTTCAAGCGCTGCTTGACCAATCTAGATGGGCTGGAGCGCACCCTTCCCTTAGCATCACCCCTTAGCAAAACTGGAAAATAGCCCCATTGGCTTGGAGATTAGTGCGCACAGATGAAGAGAAGGAAATTGAGAAGAGCGGTTGGGGAGCGAGAGAGCCAGACAGAACTGTGGTTTAGTTTTTTAAAATATTATTATGAGGCTTTCATTTTACATACAGAGATGCGCCAAGACTTCGGCATGTTGAAAGGCTTTGCCCAAGAAGCCTAGATGCAGCAAGGACACTCTGAAACCCCCTGCCTTTTGAGATGAAGCAGGCGCCTTCACTGCACCCTTTGCGGCGCCTGCTATAAACTTTGTTTCCTTTCCTTTACCTGCAAAAAGTTGCTATGCCTTTTAATCGGTGGTTTTAGCTTGACTGTAATTGCATTTTGCATGTTTTTCACTTTGACTTTTATCGATCATGTTCATGCTTTCGTAAGCCGCTTAGAGGTTTTCGTTAAGGTTAGGCGGTGCAAAAACTTGAAGGGAAGAATGTGAGTAACACCATTGCAAATAAAGGGAAGGCAAACTGCTCTTGCCAAGAAGTCAGTAGGTCTTTCAAGCCCAAGCGGTTGATGTTAGATGCTCAGAGTATTCAGCCCCGGACAGACGTCGCAACCAAATCCTGAATCTACACAGTCTCAAGGCACTGTCGCTTGTAACTGCAAGGGGGTTGCATTCTCTTTCTTTCTTCTTCTTCTTTTATTAAAGATTTTCTTGTTTTACAGAAGTATGTGTAATGTCTCTCGTATTTTTTACATGTAACATTTTTACAAATCCGTTTCATTTGTTGAGACATTAGGGGGAGAAAAAAAGGGGTGGAGGGTTGGGATATGGGTGGGGGTGGGTGGCGATGTTTCTAATATGCTTATTTTATGTAGGGTTTGGTGTCAGCGTTGCTTGTGCTGTTCACTTTTAAAAGCTACAATCCTAAATCATTGAACTTTTCCCCCTTGCAGTTTGCCTTTGCTGTTTTCTTACATTTTTTAATGGATGCTTCTTGTTTTGATATATTGATGTAAACCACTTTGTGAGGTTCATTTCAAAAGCAGTACATAAGTAAATGAAATGGGAGGGATTGAGAGGGACGTATTTCTGACTAAATGGATCTGTCTTGATTTATAATAATTAAAAATCATGATCAACCAAAAGAGAGAGAAAACTTCCAAGCAGAGGCGGATTTAGGGCAACACAGCCGTCCGTCCCCCCCGCGCTGAACCTGGAGGGGACAGAGGGGAGCAGAAGGATGAAGGAATGAAAGGAGCAGAAGGGAAGGCGAGAGGGGGCAGCCTTCCTCAGAGGCCAGACATGCTAATGCGCTTATCTCGCCTCACGGGTGGGTCCCCCCTGCGGGGTGGGAGGGGGGGTCATTATGTGAAGGAGTGGGGGATGGGCGGCCGTTGGGACGAGAAAGAGGAGCGGGAAGGACACCCCCCCCGTTGCCCCAGCAAGACGTTCGTATTAGCGCTGATGCAGCGGGAATGTAATAGGGGAAGACAATGTCTAGAGGGAAGCCGCTCCCCAGGCGCCACCACAGGGCGCGGCATCGGCATCTTCCCTCAGGCATATATATATTTGGCGGCGTATCTGCGTGTTGTCCTGAGGCAGGCAGGGTTCAAATCCCTGCACACACAAAAACACCACAATCTCTGCGCACACCCACCCACCCACCCCACAATCCTTCTACACACACACAAAGTGTGTACTGCCGATCTGGGCTCCGAGTACAAATTCCGTAAATAAAAACCATGAGAACATAGCAACCCAGAACATTGAATCGGGTTTATTTGTAGGAGGACGAGGAAAGGAAAACCAGCAAACAAAGTTTAGGAATCAAATACATAGCTGCGTTTCAACCTATTACTACGTAATTCGTTTATACATTATGCCCCTTTATCCTCCAAGATTAAAAGATCACAATGTTTCACCACGTAAATTGTAACTTGGCAACTTTCAAAGCACAATGTACCACAAAGTAACTTCCTAATATGAACAGCAGCAATGTCAATGTGAGATTAGCGCTGTGCTGGTGGTTGTTTTAATGAACAGTTCAACTTCA